GCTATCGGGGCTCAAGGCTTGGGTGGCATAAGAGGACCTGTGGGACCTCAAGGAGTAAAGGGAAACAAAGGCGACAAAGGGTCTGTTGGAGCAACTGGGATAAAAGGAGAGACGGGAGCGAAGGGTGTTCAAGGACGAAAAGGATCTATTGGCTCAAAAGGAAATAAAGGCAACAAAGGATCGGTTGGTATTCAGGGACCGAAGGGAGAATGTGTTGTTCCTCCGAAAATCACTGTGTATCCAGTATCTCAGGAAGTTTTTGCGGACGAGACAGCAATATTTTACTGTTGGGTTCAAGGCCAGACGTCGTCCACGATAACATGGCGTAAGCTTGGAGGTGTCCTATCTGATGCTACTGTGGAAGATGGTGCGCTTCGAATCAGCAAGGTACAAAGGTCACATGTTGGATCCTACATGTGCACAGCTTACACTGGTCTGGGAATGTTAAGAACAGTTGGCAGGCTTCAGATAAAAGGTAGGATATTGCAGTTTAAAGCTCTTTCTGAATGTAAATTTCGTTGCTGAAAGTCATCGCGATAAGCTTTCCAGTTGACTAACGAAGTCATTGTTGGATGTCTTCCAAACAGTTGGTACCCTTAAACCCAACGTCACAGTCAATCATTTTCCCAACTTATAACACAATTATTGAAATCTCAAGAGGGATAAATATAGATATAATTTCATAGTTATATAGATATAATTATGTAGCCAAATACTATGACCAAATTTGGTTAACAGTAAAAGATAACAATAAAATATCATTTAATTAGGTCTATATTGTTTTTATGACGTCATTTACATTCATTACATTTGTCAATTTTCCCTAGCAAACTCATGAGCATAGTACTGCTTCCTTTCACCCTTCAAATGTCATGCATGTTAACCTAACTAGTTTACTAAGCTTACCTAATTACTTTAACAATCATATTTAATTCCACTGCATTTTTTCAGTGCCACCGAAATTTACAAATAAACCTTCTTCAGAGATCATTTTAGTGCAAGGAACTACTGCAAACTTGTGCTGTGAGTCTACCGGTTCACCACCTCCCAAAATTGAATGGTACCGGGCTCAGAAGAACTCTGTTCTCCTCCCAGCTTACC